GGTGGACAGTGCCAACAGTAAAGAAATTATAACTAAAGGCATCTGCATCTGCTAGGCAGCTCAGGATTAATCAGCTTTCTGTCTTCCCTATCCCTCTGCTACAGTGTAAAGCATTTTCTGGTCCAAAGGGATGGCCATAGCACTGTGAAGGACAATGGCTGTGGTTCATGCCCGCAGATCCACAGGACAAGGTGTATCTCACCTGCCTGCACTTGCAGAGCAGATTGATTTGCAGGTTGGTGATCCTGGAAAGATCTGAAAACTACAGCCCTTACATCTAATGTCCCAGCAGAGATTTTCACAAAATAAAGTAATGGTTTCAAGGTCCTTGGCCAGAGTTCCTGGACCTATTCCTGTGCTCTGTGTGTGACACTTTGGGCTCTTGAGCTGACTGCCGTTCTGGGCTGTTGGACGTGTTGCAACATGTGACACAAAGGCGGCTTTGTAGCAATGCTTTATGCTCATTGCTTCTTCCTTCCACAGGAGAACATCTGGTTTGCCTTTTGATGAGGTAATCAGGGGAGGTACTGATTAGCCAGCATCTTGCAGGAAGTCAGCAGAGGCTGCAAATCTGTCTTGAGCTTTTTTATACTGCCCTTCCCAGACCAGAATGGAACTGTCTACAACGTAATGACAACCTTAATGGTACCATGTGCTGAAAAACAGCTGAAGAAACCAGCCCTTAGGAAAGCCAGATGCTTTCCTCAGACAAAGGTGAGTGAACTGGGATGGGAGAGAACACAGAGACTGGCAGGCAGCCAAAGTCTTCAAAGAGATGCAGGATCTTCAAGGAAGGAACAGGAGATGGAGCATCTGGGAGGAAGGAGCATAGGCAAACAGGATGGATGAGGATTTGGCAAGGCCAGCAAGGAAAGGAGTGGGAGTTATGCAGTATGTCCATGTGTAGCACTGCCAACATCAAGTTGCAGAAGCCACTGGAATGTGCCTTTATACATCCCTTGTTTTGTGCATGTCTTGAGGAGGAAGACGCATTCTGTTGCTGTTCAGGAAGTTTAGCAATGGCTGCTGTACTGCTCACAAAGGCAAAAGGTTACAGAGTAATGCTTGTGGCCTTCAGACCCGAGGCTGACAGGGGAACTAAGTGCTGGACTCAACACTGATACCTGGCTCCCCTCTTCCCCACAGCCAGTGGGGAAGTCCTGTTGCCTTAAACATCTGCTCATCTCCTTTGACCAGTCCCTCACAGAGAGACAGCTGAGGCATAGCAAGGTGAGCAATCCACCTGCATCATAGCCCTTCTGCCAGGGCATAGCATGGCAGAAAGAAATGTTAAGTCCTGTTAAGTCCCATAGTAAATGTGCTTGTGCCTAGTGAAAAGTAGTCTTTATTTGGGGTATTCAATTTGCCATGCTCACAGCTGCAGGGTAAAACTTATTAAAACTTATAAGAGTCCCCAGGGCAGGGAACCAGAAAGGTCTTCCCCACATCACCAAACCGGAAACAGCCTGGTGCTTGTCTCGCTGAGATGCTTAAATTATTACACTGAAATTAATTTTTAATTATATTCGTTTTCTTCTTTGGCTCTAGGGGTTTTCTTTGCCTCACATTTCCAGAGGCATTCAGGAATGAGATGAGACCAGTGACTGGCAGGAAGAGGTTCACTGATGTGTATTCAGAATTATGAACGAGGCTCAGGAGAATTCCCTGCCTGTGTCTGGGGGAAAGCCTGTCCCTGTTGGAGAAAGGTGTGGTTGGCATCAGAGCTGATGGGCTCCTGATCTGACCCTTGAGGCAGTATGAAACCAAGGAAGAGTGGCATGAGTTATGCTGGGAAAGCAGAACAAGAAAGGTCACTGCTCTGTCTTGAGACTGACTCACTGGAGAGTAACAGAGCACAGCTGGTTCAGTGGCTTTTGAGACTGAAAGGCAGTATTGGTCTGGGATATGTCTTCTACATCCTGTTCAATGTCATTCAGCAAGAGGTATGTAGCAGCTGACACTGACTTTGAAGAAGTACAGTTTTGAGTCTCTCACACCTGGAATTGCCTGCAGCCTTGTGAGCCTTCCTTTGCTCCTAAAGCAGCAGGTCAGGTGGTAAAACACTGCCAGGAGATGACAACAATGTTAATTCATTACTACCATTAGATAAGGAAAAATTCACTTCAGTGGTTCTCTCAAAAGCTAATGCAGATTTGGGGTACTTGCATTGGTCAGAGAAAGAACTGATGTGCCCATTCTTTTTGGGAGATGAGACACCTCACAGTCAGGAGTGTTTGCAGGCTGAAGGCTGCCAGACTGTGTCATCACTTCATGAACAAACCATCACACACTTGGCTGAAACTAATCAGACTGCTACCCGTGTCCTCTGGGTTGTCCACAATTCCTATTTGTAGTTTTTTAAGTGTCACCATATCAGCAGCCTGCAGTCTGTTGATCCTTCCTTGAAATGCTGGCATTGATTAGACATTCTTCAGAAAACATCACACCAGTAACATCAATAAGCTCCAGCCAATCTCTGTCTTGCATAAGGCTGCCCCTTCCAGAGGAGCTGCTAACCTGAGATGGTTGTGCTGGCCCCAGCTGTGGACAGAGGATCCCAGGTCACTTCAATCCCCCTCAGAGAGGCAGACTCCAGGTGTACCCCCCACTCTCTCCCCAGGGGGAAAGCTGCTTGCGCTTAGCTCCACAGCAGGGTCCAGCTGAGTATCTGGCCTGCCCATCTCCTAAGGAGTCTAGGGATGGTCACCTGGGAAAGGAGATTTTCCACAAGGCTTTGCTTTGCCTTTGTTCTAGGCTGACAAATGTGGATTTTAATGTCTGGCTGCAGCCAGGATTGTTGAAACAACATGTTCAACAGCTGCTGGAAGGTACACTGGAGCATAGTAATTGAGCAGTGTCACCTGCAGAGCATTGGGCTGTGCTAGCAGGTGAAACCCACCTCCTCTATAATTTCCTTGTCTTCCCAGTAGTCAGCTTTCTCTTGTCTGCCCTATGGGCCTTTGTTCTTTCCTGCTTAAAGACTCCTGCATGATCCAGTGCCTGCTGCTGCCTCTGACAAGGTAGAGTGTTTTATGATTTCTTTTCTGTTTACATTTTTACAATACAAAACTCAACATAAGAGCTGTTGTTTTTAGCTCTGGATGGCTTCAGTTTGGTACCTGGTACCATTTAAGGTTTTAGTAACTTGGGTAACTGGTGGTTTTGCTGCTAGATCTGAGGTTTAACATGTGCAAGGTGTGGCACACCTATCACAGATGTACCCCTGGGGAGCCCCTGGTGCGTGTGGAGAAGAAACCTGTGGGGATATATGGGCTCAATGACTCCTTTGTCTGTGCTCCTGCAGCTCAGTCAGAGCCTATAGCTCTGTGGACTGGGACACTCTGCTTGGAGAAGGTGGATGCAAGGGATAAATGGTGTTTTTCAGTCCATTTCTCAGGCGTGCTGTAAATGCGTCTAGACAGGCAGTACTTGGATGGTTGCCTTGTACCTTGCGGGGGGAGCTGCTCTTCCCGGTGGATTTTGCCAGATCTCCTTCATCTCCAAAGGGTCTTAACTCTCCTTAGCTACAGTAGAGATGCTTCCTGGCTATTCTGTCTGCTGGCTTGTTTACAAATAGCATCCAGCACAGGGGACCTGAGGTATCCTGTTTCAGCTGCCTGGTGAAGTGAAGGTGAGCAGACGCTGTAGGACTCCTTGCTACACCTGCACATCTGCCCAGCTGTGCTGTCAGAGCAGGTCTCCTGACATTGGGAATTATTTATAGCCTGCGGCTGTCTCTGAGCTCCCTCTTCCCCTCTGCAGGGGAGGAGGTTTCTGCATTCCCCAAAGGCTCTTCTAATGTGATTATCAGCATGTAAATGAAACCCAAGAGAACGCCTGTGGTTCTCCAGCAGAGCACAGAGTCATGGCTCACCTCTCCTCTTCCAGCCAGTCATGGAGCCAGGGGAAACAAAGCAGCAAAGAGGAAAATGTTGTAGAAAGTTAAGGTTAGGAGGAGGCACTGAGGAAGAGGAAAATGCAGATTGTTCTACTGTAAATAATGAATGGAGATGTGTGAAACACAGGTCTTGGGGGGGTCCTCAGCAGTTCCTCTGGCTTGCTGGAGAGGGCAAAGGGGCATCAGCTGGTTGCACCTTTGAATGCTTTGATTCCTTGGACTTTTCTGTGGGGTCACCTATAGCAGACTTGAGGGAGCAGGAGAGAGATTGTTTTGGTTTGGAGTTGAGTTTTTTTTAATCGTGTAGAGGGGTTTGTTGTGCCTTTTTTTTTTGGTCCATGGCAGGTTATAGTTCAAGAGGTTGCAGTCAGTTTTGTGATCTGAAAGTTCAAATCATAATTATTAAAGGAAGGACCATAATGTTTAGATATGGAACTTTCCCCTTTCTTTATAGCTGTGTGGATACAAAAATACTGCTTAGTTTTCTGCCATACCTCCTGTTCTTACCTCTATTTGGAATCACCTTGGGGATGACTGCTTGAAGAACAGGTTCAAATTCAAGAAAAATAAAACTAAACACGACCTCTGAGAGATGCTAGGCCAGAGCTTGAAATGGACCTACTCACCCTTTAAAAGATCTTTCTTCTTGTTTCCTCCTTTCTGACAACTGTATGTGTAAAGCACCTGAAACTAGTCTCTGGTGATCTCTGTTATGAAGCGCCCAAATGAGAATTACTTGAGCGGCAATCTGTCCACGGGTTGATTCATTCAGCTGATACCTCCAACATCCTGTGTGCTGAGTGCCTCCCCTGCTGTCCGGCGTCTTTGAGCAGATGGAGTAGCACTACTGCATGCCTGCCTGGCATAGCTGGCAAAGTAATTGAACTCGTTTTCAGAATTCATCTGCTGGAAGTGCTTACAGCAGTCCTTGATTTCTTTCCTAGTTGCAACTAATCTGCAAGTAGTAATAAAGACCTCTCGTGGGTGTCCAGGTGGATGATAATTTTTTACAAGGAAAGTGTTATGAGGGCTACAGGTGAGAAAAGGCTTATGGAAGGGGGTATGTTCACCACAAAGGTACCAACACTTCCAACAACACTTGTGTTTTATTGGATTAACACAGTTACAATGCAGTATGGAGGGCACCTCCCCACGCAAATGACACATGCTGTCCACAAGATCCTCCTGCCAAAAGCCAGACAAACCAAAGCAACAGCTAGAGCTCTGCTATGTGCTCCAGAGGGAGAGGACAATGGCTTTGGCTCTATATTAAGAAATAGAGGAAGCCCTTCCCAGATGGAGAAGCTGTGGCATTGACACAGGCAGGGACAGCACAGAGTTGTGCCCAAAGCTGTCAAAGGAGCATGGCTAACAGCACAGCTAAGCCTAGTCTTGGGAGTGAGAGCTGAAGCCTTGATCCAGTAGAGCAATGGGGGAAAATGAGAGAAGTGTGTTGAGGCTATCTGTCCCACGTCAGGTTTGCCTATACAGGGAGAAGAACATTAAAGTGCCCTGACATGAGACCAGCTTACATGGTATGTCAGGGCTTGTCTGGTGTTTTCATCTAGGAACTACTGGAGATGGCTTTGTAAAATGCTGTTCGGAAAGGAGACCATGGCAGGGCTGTATTTGTCCAGCTCCTGGATGCTGGCATATACAGATGCCATATGTGATGACAAGAACATTAGCAAGGGGAGCCAGGGAGAGTCCTTGGGCTGATATCAAGGCACATGTCTGTTCTTACTGGGAGGAATGTTATGATACAGCTCTCCCCTAGGTGTGGGCTGTAACCGGATTTATTTCAGCGGTCAGGTGCTACAAACCCTTAATCTAGCAATGCTCCTGTTGAGGAGAGGAGCACAAGTGAAGATTGGTTCCAAAGAGACCATGAGCAAGTTTTGAGATGAGGTGCATGCAACCCACCCCAGCTGAAAAAACAGGTTTGAATCTACTGCAGGCATGATGGGAGCTATGATAGGCCTTGTTCACTTAGTAGCCCCAGTAGATCACTGGGGTGTGTTGTAGTTAAGTAGCAGCCAATCTATCTGGTCCTTGTGTCAGGAAGAGAGGGGACAGTTGGATAATGTTGTACTTCTCAGGCGATCTGACCTACCAGTGGGATGGCAGCCACCTCTCTATCTTTCAAGGAGCAATAAAATACAAGCTGGCAGCACAAGGGAAGATTTCATTTGCAACCAGGGTGATTTTCTCAAGCACTTTGACCCAATTTTACATGCAAACCTTTTGACTGAAACAACAGGAAAGTTGTCAATTCTCCATCAATGCTCCTTTTCCAAATTTCCTTGTCCAGATTTTGCTCTTGGCTCCTGATCAAAGGGATCAGGATCCTTATCAAAGAGGTCATGTTCTGCCCTCTTACTAGGACTGCTATGCATGAGCTGGGTGCTTTTTGCAGGTTGAGGCTCCAGCTGTGGGAGGACAAATGTGTTTTCAGCACGTAGGCAACAGAGATGAGAGATGCCATCTGCATTTGGGTCCTGCGTGCTCTGTGAGCCTGGCAGCTCCCAGGAGCAGTGCACTGTTGTGGCTGATCTACTGCTGCACACCCAGGTCTGCCTTTCAGCACCACTGTCCCTGCTGAGGGACTCGCTGGCTTACTACTTTTTCTTCTTCCCCTTCCTCCCTCCCCAGAAATGGGAAGAACTTGTACTCCCTTAAGCAGGAGCGCCGAGGTTGGTGTGGGAATCCAGCCGCGAAGGTGGGGCATATTCCTGCTCTTCACTCTGGTGCAGAAGGTGCCTGGATGTCAAAAATGACCATGTCACACTGACCACCATTGCTCACAGCCGAGGGGAGCACATCCCCCTCCACTGTGGTTAAAGCAGAGGGAGGGAAGGGTGCTGTGCCTTGTCCCTGGCCCAGGAGTCTGCTGCAAACCCGTGCAGCCCGGTGCCGGCCCTGCAGTCAGCAGCACAGGATCTTGAGGAAGGCTTTGCGGAAGTCAGTGTTGAAGGTTGTGTAGATGATAGGGTTGAGGGCACTGTTGACGTAGCCAAGCCAAGTGCTGGCACTGTAAAGCCTTGGAGGCACGTGGCAGGATGGGCAGTGGGCATTGAGGATGTGAATCAGAAAGAAGGGCAGCCAGCAAACTATGAATGTGCCTGGGTTTAGAGAGAGGAAGAAAACAATCATGAGTTCAGGGGAGTAACTACTTGGAAAAGGGCCTGCACTTGTGCCCTCTCCCTCCATCCCCTTATTATTTCCATACATGTGTCTGTATTTCACAAACACTGAAGGCAACATTTATTCCTGACACAGAGGGACTTGGCAAAAGCTTGGGCTCCTTGGGACCAGCTCTGTGAGTGGATGGATGGGGCTTCAGAAGCAGCCTGGTGACAGACAAAAGCAAGTGGCCACCACTTTGAGGGAAAGAATGATGCCTCAGCTGCTTTAATCAGTTACAATTAGGGCTGAGTTATTTCCCTGCTACTACTGAGTTAATGAGGGGAAACAGTGAGTCTGGTGACCACAGCAGGTGACTGAGGCACCAGCCTGCTGGCTTCTCTATCCAGTTGTATGAACTGGTTCCTCTGCAGCTCCTTGCCTCCGTTTCCACTCCTGGAATTGAGCCCAAGAGCTTCTGCATGTATGGAAACTTAGGATTGTTCCAGCTTCATAATTGCAAAATAAAGGAAAAGGAAAAGCAAAGGTGTTGGCTGTTGCTCCCTCTAGCAGAGCTTGTTGGCCACTGATTTAAAACACAAGGCTAACAAAACATGGCAAATAATACACTAACACACTTGGCTTTCAACAACTGGGAGCAGTGCTCTAGATCCCTAGATGTCCCACCACTGTCTCTCCGGAGTTTGTGGAGCAGTGACAGCTGAAGCCAGGGCCTGGCTTGCATTTTTTTAAATCTCAGTACTATATTAGGAGCTTCTGTGCTCCGGGAAGTCCCAAACCATCACCCCTTGCATGCCACTAGACAGAGTGGCTCTCACTCACCCAAGACAATCGCTAGCATCTGTGTAGCCTTTCTCTCCCGGAGCTGGATCAGTCGAGGCTGCTGCTGTGCCAGCTTCAAAGAGCTGATGATTTTGCCATTGCTGAGCCTCTGTACCTCCACTCCTGGTTTTGTACACTTTCTCCTCTCTTCCTGCCTGCTGTTTTGTGTAGTCCCTGGTGTCTTGGTGAGGGATGCCTCATGGCAGAAGCTCCGGTACCGCTGCAGGCTGAAGACAGTCAGCAACTTCCTTTTGGTAGACATCTCCTGGCCTGTGCATTTGAGTGGGAGACAGGGGGGAAAGGTGCCTTGGCATCTGTTTGGCAAAGCTTTTCTCTCCATGTGTTCCTGCAAAAGAGGATGCCACAGAGGAACTGGAAACCATCTAAACTGTTCAATGGGACAAAGGATGATAAAGAAAGTTGTAGGAGTCATCCTTAGCCCCACTTGTCTCTTAGGTTTGCACTATCTCCTCTGGACTGACCTGAGGGGTGAACCAGCACTTGAGAACTCTCTGCCTCCATCCCACCAAGGAGAAACATAAAAGCAATAAGAGCAGAAACACCTGCTTGCTAATCTTTCATCTGTATTTTTGTGTTGGCCCTGCTCCCCTCAATATCCCCACCCTTTTAATGTAACTCCACTGTGCAAAAATGGGTAAAAGGAGTGGATATGTGTGACCAGGCAATTCCTTTCAAACTGTTGTGCTGGTTCCCATGGTTGCAGATATTTCATCTAGAAAGGTCAGTGGAACAAATGCTCCATGCACCGTGAGCATCTTGACCTCTTAGGTCTGTCAGATGAAGAGGGTTTTCTGTTTTAATAATGTAGGTTAAAGCCTGTGAAGTCCTGAAAATGAAGCTTCATAGAGCGAAAATCAATAACTGAAGACATTAAAATCAATAAATGAAGAAATTAGCCAGACTTATGCATGGCTGAGAAAGCCCTGCTCTGAAGAAATATTGAAGTAGGCTATGCTCTTTTCTAGTTGCCAGTTCTAGAGGGCAGAGATACACAAGGAGTACCCTCTTTCTAGAGGGCTGAAATGGATTTAACTGCAGCTTCTGCATCTCAAATATCATGGTGTATGAGCAAGGTATGGGATGAAAACATGTCATGCCCTTATGCTTTCTGTTCTGTGTTTTGACCCTTTGAGAAGAAGAGATGGAGCTGTCAAAAAAGACAGGGAATGCACCTACTGCGTTCATGTGGATCTTACTTGGTGTGCATGGCACGGTTTGGTGCTGGTGCTGTGGCTGCCCTGCCGGGTGAGGGTTCTCTTCTTTTGCCTTTGTCTTAGCACGAGATAAATCCGGACATAGAGCAGCAGGGTCACCATGAAGGGGAGGTAGAAGGACACCAAAGAGGAGTAGATGATGAAACTAGGGTTGGATATGGAACAGACACTAGGATCCCCTGGGGAGGAGAAGAGAGAGAGAGAGGGAGAGAGGAGTGGCTGAGCTGCTTCAGTTTAGTACAACGAAGCTCTGATGTGTTGGCAAAGCGAGTCAAAAGGTGGGACAAAGGCAGTCTAAGGACTGCAGATTATGCTGTGGCTTACCCACTCACCTGATACTTAAAATTAACTCTACGTAGGGCCATCTAGCATTATTAGCCAGCATGCATCTGCCTGCTTTTCTGGCCAACAACTCTGTTTTCTTTTCTCATGTCTATTCCCATCCTTTCTCCTAGGATCCTATCTCCTTTTATCCTTTCTCCTATTTCTTTGACAGCCTCTGAGCTGTTTAGAAGCAGAGATGTGCCTTCACCCCCACCTGTCTGGACTAGCAGCATTTCCCACTCCCATCCCCTTCTTGCCTCAAGCATTGCAGAGGATGGATGGGGAGCAGAGGACTTCTGCCCGTGGCTCAGTGGGAAGGAAGGTTCTGCTGCTCCTCTGCCTCCAGGGAGAACAGGTTCTAGCCCTATCTGAGGGAAAGGAAAAAGACCAACCTGTTTCCAAGGTGGAGGCTAAATTGTTTGCTCTCCTCAAGGGATTAGTTGAGGAAGCAGATGGCCAGTTGGATGGGAAGGAGGTTTCTCACAAGCAGTGCTAATATGCAATCCTTGCTGTTTAGAGATGTGTCCTGTATCAAATTGTGTGTTTGGACCTGTTGATATCAGCAAGGTGTGTGTTGTATGTACTGCATGTTTGGAGATTTGCTCTGTGTGCTCAAAGTGATTGTTTGATGGGAATCTGTAGACCTGGACACCTTGATGGGCATTGATTTGGCAGTAGAGCAGGTAGGTCTGCCCTCAGAGCAATAGTCAGTGTCTGTCTGAGCAAATGGCAAGTATAGGGCAAGAGCACATGGAGGCTTTTCTACCCTTCATAGTGTACTTACAGTTCCTTAAAATTTCCTGTAACTTGGCAAGTCTGCAGGACCCCTATTATATGACCTGGCCATGCACAGTTTCCAACCCCTCCCTGCATGCTGTTGTCCAGGACATCACCTACCTGTAGTATTGAAGCCAAAGAGGAGAGGACATGACACTGCAAATGCCAGCATCCAGACTATCACGATCATGAGAGACACCCTCCTGCATGAGCTCTGCCCAGTGCTGTACTGGTATTGAACTGGTTTCACCACTGCGGTGTATCTGCAGACCAAACCAGCTCCAGGAAGAGGAGGGGTAAGAATGGAGGGTGGAAAAGGAGTAGGTTTTTATGAGGAGAAATGAAAGCAACATAGGGAACATGATGGTGAAAGTGGTGAAGAAAAGGAAGAGGAAAGAACAGAAGATCAGGTGATGGGATTAGCAATTTGCAGAAATGGTAAGTGGGGCATTGCGGGGAGGAATAGAGGAAAACAGAGTTAGTTGGCAGCACTGCAGAAAAACTCTCTGCAGAACTGACAGCATGTGAAGCTACAAGGTTTGGGATACCAGATGGATCTAGAAACCCCAAGAAACCCACAACCCTCAAGCCCATAAAGTTATACGTGCACTGCTGGGAAAGAACACTCTCTGGAGAAACCACAACCTACTAAACTCTTTGTCTCAGCTGCCTTGTCTGGTGTCAGCCTGACTGATAGACAGTGGGTTGCCCACGGGCAGGTGTCCAGGACCTTCAGCTGCTGGGGTGCCCCAGAGGGTGCAGCTCAGCAAGGCTACAATTTGGAAGGCCCAGGAGTCTCACCTTTAGGATAGCCTAGGGGCTGTTCCTTGCAGATAGAGCCAAAATGAAATGGTGATAAAGATGTCCATGAAAGAACACTGGACCAACCCAGCATTGAGAGCTGCCTTGCATTATTAGCCTTGAACCACATATTACAAAGGTACAGCATGATTTTTTCCTTCTCCCACTCCTTGGTCCTAACAGCACCACATGTGCCAAGGTCTTGGCTCCAACCCTCGGCATTGCTTAAAATAGGCTCAGTCTTAATATGCAGAAAACAAGAGCAAAGCTGAAGATTACAGAGCAATAATCTTCACCTCTCCCTATGTGTATGCCAGGATTTTCTTTATTAAAACTTCACGAGTGAGATCTCCAGAAGGAGAAACTCTCTTTGAGACTCAATGGGAATTAGATGTTCCTGCCTTCAAAAAGCATAAGGATGTGGTTGACTACCTACTGGGGATGTCTTGTTGCTTGTGTCTCTCTGCCCTCCAGTGCAGACTGTTCTAGCTCATGGTGGGCAGACCCACATTATTAGCAGTAGTGGCAGGAACAGACTTGCAGGGAGGTTTGTGGTCCTGAAGACACCATTGCTGTCTGTTCACACCCCACTTCCTTGTCCTTACCACACTGGGGTACAGGGTCGACCCCCATATCCAGACTATCCCCCTGGATGTTGTCGTCTCTCACCTGTCGATGCTGATAGCACAGAGGTTTAAAATGCTGGCTGTGCACATCATTACATCCATGGTGACAAAGATATCGCAACAGATACGGCTGAATGTCCAGACTCCTCCGGTCACCTGCACCAGCAACCACAAAACTGTCAGCCTTGTTCTGCACCAAGTCCTGATAAGTTACCTGGAGGAGAGCACCTCCTTACATGTATCTCAACAGCTAGATAAATTCATGTCCACAGTGATGTGCAGAAGGAAACTGAGGCACCCATGTTGTGTTCAATATAACACAACAGTAGGTCATGGCAAATAAGCCTCACCTTAATTTCACTCCTTTATTTGCTCTTGCAGAGGGCGGCAGGGTGAAAAAACAGGAGCTATTCCTTCCCTCAAGGCCCAGCATAATAAATTGATTTAAATTTGATATCACTGTATATATCCCTTGATTAAGGGTTATCTGAGAAAATCTAAGGGCTGAAAGTGTTTCTCAGCTGATGGAGTGCTTTCGCAGGCAGTGAGCTGGAAAAGCACTGCAAATTTTATGCATTTATGTATGAAACAGGGACCTGAGACCGAGGCTTCTCTAAAACCTTATTTGGATTCTTATCTCAGTTAAATTTTGATTATTAGATCTGAGTGAGAACTCATAGGCTATTCAGATAAAGGGTCTTGGGTTTGCTACCACGTTGAGCTGTTGTTCTTGTTGTTTTGAATTTTTAATCGGAACTGTGAAATTTGTGAAAACTCAGCTGCAGCCAATCTTTCTGACGGAGAAAAGTGTTTTTTGGACCAGCCATTAAATTCTTGACATTACATTTCGGTTGAAAATTATATCCTCCAAGTGCCCTGTGGCCCTTGTAGGAGATGAACAAGGAGGCAGCCTGGCATCCACCTGCAAAGAAACCCAGCACTGGGCTGAGTGGGGAAGGGGGTAGGAGAGAAAGAGGGAGAAAAATCCATGCTCAGGAGAGAGCCTGGATTTTAGCCTGCAACCCCATAGATTCTGCTGTTTCAGCTGGATCCTGGGAAGCTATCAGAAACTGGCACTAGTTCCTGGTCTCTCTGCTTACATTTAGACAACATCTGGAATACTGCATCTGGTTTTGAGGCCCTAGTAGAGGAAAAACATTGATTAACAGGAGTGAGTCCAGTGAAGTCCACCAAAACAGTCCTTAGAGGCTGGAGCAGCACTTGTCCTGTGAGGACTACCTAAGGGAACAGGACTTTTTCAGCCTGGAAAAGAGAGGGTTTGGAGGGGTGGGAGGCTAACAGCACTCTAGTGCCTAGCTGGAGGTTATTTAGAATGTTGTAGGCAGGTTACTAAGAAGATGCAGCCAGGTTTTTCACAGCAGTGTGTGATGGGAGGACAAGAGGCAACAGGAATGAGCTGAAAGAAAGGTGCAAACTGGTCATGAAGGTAACTTTGCTGACCAGAAGGACAGTGAGACAGTGGAGGCAGTTGCTTAGTAAGTCTGTGCAGGATCCATTCTTGGAGGATTTTAAGACCCACTCAAAAATACCCATCCCAGATCAGGCTGGAGAGGGTGCCACAAGTAGGCTTGGCTTCTAAGGTAGTGGATCAACCCTGCAGCAAGTGTTGATGCCTAGACAGGATGCAGGTCCCTGCAGAGAGAAGGACTTGTATAAATACAGAATTCACTCCGTGAGAGTTGTTTAAGAAATAATCCTCAGAAATTTAAATGGCTTTGATAGTAGCAGCATTCCCACACAGGGGCACAGAAACTTGCTGGCGTGAACTGTGTCTTTAGGGCGTTCTCTGCTGGACCCAGCTGCTACATTTCAGAAGTCAGGTATTGAACCAGGCAGTCCTCCTTTAGACCTTCTGACCCCGAATGAAGGCAGGGAGAGAAATGGGAATTGGCTTGCAGAAGGAAGAAAGGAACTGTGCTTTCCTCTCCAGTTCTCTGATCCTGGTGGGGCTCCTTTGTTTACTTCTAAAAAAAAAGTAAGTGAAGGAGAAAAAGCCAAACCAAACCCATTGAGCTTTTCTGCACAGTTAGGTGAGCTACAAGACAGGGAAACTGAAGACTGTCCCTCTGAAATTAGGGATTTTAACAGGTGGGTTCAGCTTCCAAAGAAACCCCCCCACTGGTTTTACTTTAGTTTTACTTTAGTCTCAGTGAGATTTGCTTGACCACCTCAAAATATATATTTAAAAAAATAAATGCAGGAAGCCTTTGCAGTAAGGGATGTTTCTGCAATCTGAGGCAAAAAGCAATGCAGTTTCTATGGGATCTGTGGAGTCTAAAGAATATTTCACCAAGAGTCAGTGACAGGTGTTTGCACCAAAGCCAGCTGCTGCTAGACCAGCAGATGTGCAAACACTTAACTGAGGGAGTTTCCAAGGTCTTGAGCACATTAAAATGCTAAACCCAAGAATGTGAACTGTTAAAACTGAAGAAGGTGCTGGTGGGAATGGCTCTGAAGTGAGCCCTCTCAGGATGATGCATTCAGATATCACCATCTGCATACTAGGCTAGTTTGTGTTGAGAGGATGCTCAACAGATCAAAATGTTTGGGCTTAAAACCCATCCTGACTTCCACCAGCCATAGCTTCTAAAATGGGGAGTAGCTCTGCTGAAGTCAGTGAAGTAGTTAATATTTACCCACGGGGTATGTGAACCCAGAATTTATTTCAGAATTTAACAATGAAGAAGAGCCTTTATATTATAGGCCCAGCTCATAATTTTTAAAATTCTATTTCTGCTCTTCCTTTTATTGCTCTGTTCCACTCATCTTTGCTACAGCAGCTAGAACTTGCTAGTGTGCATTTCTGGTTTTCATGTGCTAGCAGGGTACCTGTTCTTTATCCCTCTGGGCCTTTTGTCCAGGAATCTCAAAGGACATCCCAGGTATTAACTGAATGAATCCTCACATCTGCCTGGGTGAGGTAGATAGTCAAATATTATTCTCTTACAGCTGATGAGAGCAAACCACAGAGAGATGAGCTGATACAATCTCATTACCACTCAGTGACTGTGCAGCAGAAGTGGGAACAGTGTCCAGATGAAATCCTGGCTCTGTCAAATGCTAAAGCTCCATATAGACTATTCAGGTCAGATTCTCACCTCATCTTTCTTGATGACCAGTCTGCTTTATCTACAAAATTGTGGTGTTATTATTTTTACCTTCCCAACTCTATAGGAAGGTTTCCAGCTTATGAATGCACAATGATATCTTTTTTAAAACTTATGCCAATCCATCACTTTCCTGAATTCTTAAAATAAACAAAAGAATCTCTGCAATTCAGATATGAATGATGATGCCACGATGAGGAGCACACGGATGGGAAAGTAGACAACCAAGTTGCATCAGGTGATGACTGGCACATAAGGAGCAGTGCCTCTAAGCATGCTCACTGAAGGGTTTTGTGTTTAGGAGAGCTTCTTCTTGGGGGTGCTCTTAGCTCCAGCAGCTGTGAAATGGCTGCTCATGGTTTTGCACAGTGGGAGAAATGAAGAGCATGCACGAGGTCAGGACTGCTGACAAGTGGTGAACTGCTGAGCTGCAGTAACTCAGCTGTCTGTCCCCCCATTGACAGTAGTCCAGTCCTTGAGCTCAAAGAGCAGTTGTAGGTCTTCCTACTCAGGTGTGAGAGACACAGATGAGGAGACAGTATCACTCTCATGCTCTGAACAGACTGGATCTCAGTGACAACCATCTTCTGAAACTTTTTTCCCCTTTGGAGGTAGAACTGGATGTTGCGAGAAGAGTAAGAAGGATGTTCCCAGCCATGCTGCTGCATGTCCTCCTGCACTTATACAATGACTGTAAGCCATGATGGTGTCTAATACCATCAAACTTCAGCCGGCAGGATACCCAAATGCCACTGTCTTAGAAACCTTGGTGAGCTTTAGCAGCCGTGGCAGCCACAGCATCAGAGATCAGTAAAGAACCGGGGCAGCAGCGTTGGTATATTAGACCTACCTGTTGACCCCAGAAGATTGCTGAACAGCATTTTTATGCTAGAAACTTCATTAGGTGGAGATGAGGATTTTGAGGCTATAAAATATTTCTATTGCTGCTTTGTCACAGCCTTCCCAAAAGACTTCTCAGAAAGAGACAGTTCTAATCTGCATGACTGACAAAATAACATATTTCATGGCCAGAGATGACTCTAAAAATGGAGTGTAAAGTACAATGTTCACAAGAGGCATTCATCCACCTTTAGCTTCTCCATAAATAATGGCCAGTTCTCAAATGTCTAGTTTGGCAAACGTTCAGTAGGTGAATAGATATTGTACATGGTTTTGGGGATTCAATGATTTTTTTTTTTGGCAATTTCCAGGCTCATAGTGTATTGAAACATGATGCCATTTCTGCTTCATCACTAGCATCGCTGATCCACAAACAGCAGCAAATATTGAAACAACTTTGACACTTCTTGGACTGTTTTTTAAATCTTAGTCTTACTGGAGTCCTACAGCCCAGTTCTCTAGGAGACACTGCACAGTGCCAGGAGTGGTAGTTGAGGATGTGTATGGGTTCTTTCCCTGTTGTTTGGATGACTCTTATATCAGCTACTTTGATTATCCAAGCTCCACAGATGGAAATTAGTCTTAAATGGGTCTACAAACACAACTAGGGAACAGACCTACTGCTGTGCTCACAAATCGTGACCACAGCACTGCATGGGGGCAGAGGCTGCTCTGCAGATGTGCCTCAGTCCCACCCTGTCCACAGCAAGAGCAAGTGCCAAATCTTTTCTAATGCAAAGCATAATGTGATTTCATTAAAGATTCTAATGCCCTTGAGCTGATAGACTATTCCAGTCTGAAATAAAATTAGACTTTTAATAAAATTTTACTTTTAACAATATTTTTTAGTTGCAATCAAATTGCAGAGTCTAATGGGATGGCTTCACACACACACACGCACTTATTCCTTTTTTTTTAATCACTTGATGTAACACACTCAAGCTGTACACATCCTGCAGGCCAGCTCCAGAACTGCTCCACACAGGTTAGTCTAAATTTTGCCACTGACTTTTTTAGGAACATGATCATGCATGCAGTGGTGTGGTTAAATTCTGCTGATCTTTCCCAAGATGCACTCACCTCTAGGTACACCATCCATGGCATCACCAAAGTAGCCACCAGCAAATCTGCCACTGCCAGGCTCACTACAAGGTAGTTTGTTGTGGTTTGCAAGGTGCGTTCCCTCAGCACAGCTAAGCAAACTAGCACATTCCCAAAGATGATGGCCAAAATCAAGATGCAGTAGCAGAGGGCATAGTAGGCATGTGAATGTGGCACGTCAGGCTCTGTAGTGTTGTTTGCCCCACAGGGAATGGGGTCAGTGGTGTTAGGATGACTGCTGGCTCTTGTGAAGAGGGCCATGGGGATGCCGCTGCAAAGAGAAAAGAGAGAGATGACCGAAAGTCAGAGCTCTACAATAATTGTGGAGAACAGTACCTTCTGTGGGTGGTGTATGAGTTTCATACTTCCTTTTTGAATGTTACTTCAAGCCAATCATAGAGGATCTTTTTCTGCTCATATATAGGCAGAGCTTTGCTTCAAGACTTGCTTGGCCTGTTCTGTTTTTCACTGAGAAGAATGCATGATTTCACCTCCTGGGTGCACCTGAAAGGTGCTTCTTACCAACCAACACAGCTGTATGGGATGTGGCAACTGTTTTAAGATGCACCAAAGTCACAGCACAAGTCAGCTGGGCAAGAGTGCAGTCTGAAAGGCAACAGTTTGAAATGCTGAGGAAGACCCAATGCAGTTACCCAAACTAGGGGTTTAGCCAGAAGCTTGGACCTTGTATCTTTTTTTCTGGGAAGTATCCTCTCCCTTCCCTCATTAAAAAAATGTCTTCAATAACTTCACACACTTGAGTGCTCGGCATCCTGGCAGAGAGGCTGCACCTGCAATGCTCACATAGCCTCTTGATCCCTAAGTGTCCAGCAGCACAATCTCCAGAATTTCTCTTTTCCTGCAGCTTGTTTCTGTCCCAGACCCTGCCTACCTTGCCAAAGCTTGACTGTCAGTGATGCTCCCATTTCATGCATACCGTGCTCTGTGTTTTCTGTGCCCGGCCAGAAGATGTGCTTCCTGTGCTGAAAAGCAAACCTACTTGAAGTTTGGGATGAAATAATGGAAGGATGCTTGCAGGGTATTCTGCATTTCTTTTTCTTACAATAGATTCAAGATTGTGCTCAGGAACCTACCCTTTCTTGATTTAGGAGAATGAATTTTTCCAGAAATATGAAGGCTGCTGTCCCAAGGTTGTTCTGTGACATTTAATTGCTTGTATCTGATTTTTTTTTTCTTTGCTACTGCTCCCGTTGGTGAACTCATCATCATTGTGACAGGTATGAAAGGCAAGGGCAAAACACTGCAATATCAGTGGTATAAATATTACTCTGTTTCACCTCACCCCTTGAACAGCAGCATCTGTGATGCATAGCTGCTACACAGCTACACTCCTGGAAGAGTAGCTGTGCAATAGGTATAAATTGCTCCAGTCCCTTGCGATATACTCATCCTTGAAACTGGTGCCACTCTCCTCTGCTGCTTTTTAGCTGGGAGAGGACAAGGGTTGAATGAGATGGAAACTGAACTTCCCTCTGTCCTGTGGTATTCTCAGGATACCTCTTATGGCATGTGTTTTGTTTGAAAGTGCTTGTGCTCTCGTCTCCTTCTCTTTCTTCTGCCTGCCCCTGACAAAGAAGTTAAGCCTTCCACGGGATCACAAGGATCTCTCGTAGCATGAGCTGAGTCCAGGACTGTTTGCTCATAAAACAGTTGAGCTGCAGGCACCCCAAAAAGGACTCATTTTGTTGCATCCCTTGCACTGACACAGCTCCCGCTCTGGGAATTCTGTATTGTCAGGGGCCAGGAAAGGCTAGTTCTGTAGCACTGGGAAAAACCCTACATTTAACAGCTGACTGATAAGCAAAGCCACAAGAGGGAATAAACAAGACATTATGCATAATATAACCAGAAGGCTTAAGGCACCACATTACACAGTTCGTCTGTGGGTTATCTGTCGTGTCTTCCCCTTACATCCTTGAGCACTATTTCCGACTCTCACCCGGAGGCCAGTCTTCCCTACCAAGCTCCCCAGCCCTGCCCATCCCTGAACTGCCCCCCAACCCTACAGCCCTGCTCACTCCTCACCGGGCCAGGGTGCTACCAAACCAGGCAAGTGCCAGCGTACCTGGATACCCGCATACGGGGGTAGCAGGACACCCACCACCCTAGGCAACAGGGTGGCAAGCTGAGACGGGGACAAGAGTCGCAGCCGTGGGGACGCAGAGGGAGAGAGGAAAGGGAGGAAAAGGGTCTCTGCCTCGGAGGGGTCCAGGTGCAGGTCCTGGCCCGGATGGCGGGTCCAAGCGCGGGATACAGAGTGCGGGGAAGGATCCGGTGTCCGAGCGTAGGGTCCAGACGCCTTTGGGTCCGTCTCCAGCTGCGGGTGCCGCTCCGCGCCCGCCGCTCCCGCACCCGCGGGGCAGCGGCAGCGGCGCCGCTCCCCGTCCTGCCCCCGACCCCGGGCTGCCGTAAGCCCGGCAGGGGCGAGGGAGGCTGGAGAAAACCGGGGGGGGGGAAGTGAGGGGCGAGAGGGAGGCGGAGGGGCTGCAGGAAAGGGGACCTCCGGCACCGGGCGGGAGGGGAGCGGGGAGGCAGCAGTCAGGACTTACCCCCGGCCCGTCGGGCCGTGGCACCGCCGCCGCCCAGCAGGAGTCGGTCCCGGTCCCGTTGACTCCCGACCCGACCCGTTCCCTCCTGCCGCCTTCCCGTTGGGGAGCTGCGGGGCGGGACCGGGCTGGCCACCTCCTCCCCGCCCGCCCCTGCCCCGGGACCCCGCGCTGCCCCCAGAGATTGCCCTTCGCCCAGAGGGACCTGGTGAAACGGGTCCGGGCGAATTTTGGAGCCAGGGTGCGCAGCAGCGGTGTGCTTTGCCGAAGGGCTGGAGGCGAAGCGGGAGCTGGGAAGCCGGGAGCTGGGAAGCCAAGGCGCCGGTGCTGCGGCGGAGCGGGGAGAGATGCCTCGCCCAGCCGATAGAAAGTTGTCAGTTAAAAACCAGTTAGTTGAAAAAAAATTATCAAAGCAGAGATGGTTTTGAGAATGGGGAGATAATATATCTATCTATCTCTAAATAAACTGCCTTAAACCTGAAATGAAAGAGTGCAGGTAATTGGAGAGTGATGTTGGGAAGTATCCTTCTCCAGGGACCACTGCCAGTAGGGACAGCACGCCACATCTACCATGGCCAGACCATGGCTGCAACCCCTGTCTCTGAGATGTGGCTTCCCCTGAGATCTGAGATCAAGTCTCTGAGGCACAGTTCTCCTCCGACTGTGGACACCGGAAGAGCTCTGCGGGGGTACAAGTGATCCCGGTGGGCCTTTTCTCTCCTGGGGTTGTGCCCGCCACCTTCTCTGGCACAGCAAGTGGGGCATGCAGTGGGTTGTCATGAGGGTGCAGGGTGCTCGGGTGCAGGGCTGTGCATGCAGGAGTTGTGGCCCCAGGAGGGAGGAGGAAAAGTGCTGTTCCCCTTTATGTACCCACTGGTTAGGGTGGCTACAGGTTAACTTGTAGGTGGGCAAGCAAAAGAGAAGGTACTGTGGAGAGCAGGGTTTATCTTTAAGAATTTACTTATCTTAAGAAGTCTGCCTTGGGACTCTGGCTGCCTGGACTATCTCTGCTGACTGCAGCTATCCAAGCTAATCTCTCTGTGGGTAGGGGTGGTAGGATGGAGGAGTGCTGTATAGAACACTCATACCCATCAGGTGTGAGGGGTGTGAGTGACATCTTTAGCCTGGCTGGGCATGGTGGAAGTACCCATACAGGATTTGATGGGGACTAATCAGCACCAATGCCTTTAACTTTAACTGTGACCCTAAGGGAGGTCGGTGGATGGCGCTGGATGAGTGTGATGAGTCACTGCCTAGTCCCTATGGGCAACACATTCACACGTGTCCACCCTGGAGGATATAGCTGCTAGGCTATTGGACCAAATGAGCCATGAAGGGCTCTACAGCCCCTTTGTTCCCTTGGGAGCTCCAAAATGGTGTGACATGGACTACACTTACCGTGCTTATGTTATATGCATACAGTTGAACTTCTGCTGTCATCCGTACTTTGCTGCTCATCTCTGGGGAAATGCATTTGCTAACTGTGCCTGGAGCAGTCAAGGAAGGGGGGAAGCCCTCCTGCCCATGCCCAGCAGAGGATTTTTAGCTGTGAGCTTGAAAAGAGTCCAACACACTCACAGTCGTGTGGTTAAAACCACAGGGGAAAGCACACACTGTAATGCTTGTTCTTACTGGTGAGGGCTGTGTGAGCCACAGGCTGGGTGTGAATGGCCAGTAAGCACAACTCCTCACAGTGGGGCTAGCAAAGAGATGGAGGCATTTTAACTTCACTTTAGCAATTTTTAAATGCAGTTTGTTTGTGGGTAGTTCCCAAAGGATTGTGGCCAGCAAGGTACTCACATCAGCTCTAGGATGATGGGACCACAAGGCACTACAGCAACAGCCTTTAGTGCTGTTATCTGTTCAATGTAGCAGCTAACCACTGATCAATAAAGAGACATTGCCTTGCCTCCCTCTAAGATCTTATCTTCCAGTGCTGAAACCTTCCCTTTTGCTTTGCATTTTGTGTCAGTGGATTCCCTCTTGTGAAACTTGTTTCTTGCTTTAATTATTTTTATCTCATTTCTTAATATCACTCTGACTCCAGAAAAAAAATAATCATAGACTCATGATTATAAAAAATAGTCATAGACTCAAAAATAATCATAGAGTGGTTTAGGTTGAAAAGGACCTTAAAGATCATCTAGTTCCAACCTGGCCTTGAGCACTTTCAGAGATGAGATATCCACAGCTTTTCTGGGCAACCTGTTTCAGTGCTTCACTACCCTCACTGTAAAGAATTTCTTCCTAATATCTAATCTAAACATACCCTCTTTCAGTTTAAAGCCATTCCCCCTTGTCCTGTCACTATGTGCCCTTGTAAAAAGTCTCCCTCTGTCTTCCTTGTAGGCCCCTTTAGGCACAGGAAGGCTTCTCTAAGGTGTTCCTGAAACCTTCTCTTGTCCAAACATAATCTAGTTGGAAATGTTGCTGCTCTGTTGAAGCTCGTTCTCCTCAGTGCTCCCTCCCCACCCTCTTCCTGGGGTGGTTCCCTTCACGCCCCCTTATTTTCCTGAGACTGGAATCTCTTTAGGGTAAGGGCTTAATGACTTTTTTGTGTTTGCTCTGCAGCAGAAGTCTTGTGGAGCAAGATAATAATTCGTGGGATCATTTAATTTAGAATAGATTGTACCACACACAGAGGTAGGGTTGGATTAAAATTGCATAAGCAATCTTGTTGTGATATTTGCCATGATTTTTTTTAATAGTACAACTTCTTTAATACAGTGTGCAATGTCTCTCTCATAAACTCTTCGCCTTCCTCCTACCCCAAAATCAAGCGTGTGATATATATTTGCCCCAGTTAAAGATTGGACAAGTTGCAGGCTTTGGGTGTGACAACATGGTATCACCGGAGCATGGCAGAGAAACAGGTTGTGAGAACCTCAAAATGAGAGAATGAGCCAGCAGGTTTCACTGCTCAAACTCCTGGTTCTCCAGCTCCAGCACAGGCTTTGTGCCCCATGTGCAGAAAGCTGAGAGGCCGTAGTTCTTAAACCTGGTCCATTCCCTCTGGGTCCAGTCCAGCCTATTTCTTTGCCTTCATCTCCAACACCAACTTCTTCTTTTCAGTCCTGTATGTCCACAAACTCTTTGGTAAAGATTTCAAATAACTTGGATAAATGTCAGTGTTCCCTCTTAATTTTCCTCACCTCCTTGCCCATCAGTCTCATTATTCCTCTGTACTAAGTTTGTCCAGTGAGTGTTGGTGCACTCCTGTTCCCTTATGTCTGTCTCTAGTCTGTGCTCGTGTTTCTTCCTTTGGTTTCTATCCACAATCTCAGCATCCTGTCCAGTTCCTAAACCTCTGGTAGCTTCATCTAGCCTATTTGTCCTTCTCTACTACTTCTGCTTCCCAAGCTCCTCACTCTTAACCTTGCCATCTCTGGCTGGGTTGCTAGTCCCCTCCACTCCTGCAGCTTAAAGGATTGTTTCCAAATGGTATTTGCTGTGCTTTCACACCTCAGTTGCTGTCACTACAGCCAGTATTTGATGTGCAGTGTCTAAAATGTGCCACTCAGGTGGAATTAATCCTCCATCATTCATTTTGCAAGTAAGGATGCCCTCCTGACAGTGAGTATTGTTAAAGTACTCTGCATCCAGGGGGATTTTCAATACCTGCCTGCATAAAGCCCTAATCTGACCTCATGGCTGTCCCTGTTTGGAGCGGGATGCTGGACTAAACACCTCCAGGGGACCCTTCCCAACCTGAGTTATCCTATGCTGCCATGAAAATAGCCTTGCCTGATGGTAAACAGAACTTTCCTGGCTGGCACAACCTGCAAACTTCAGATGAAACTCAAGTTCATTCCCATACCATCTAAGCAGGATATGTCTATTTGGCCTTGACAGCTTTAAATTTTTTACAAAACTCACCTGTTTTCACAGTGGTGACCAAAAAGGAACTCATTCAGCTTCAGGATAATGTATACATAGCACCTTGTAGAAGCAGGACAGATTCCTTGAAAAAGCTACCACAGCTCATGTCAGATAAGATTCACAGGAGATTCAGATCCTGCCGATATTGATTCCCTTCTGCTCAACACTTACCTTTCCTGTTTCCTCTTCTGGCAGTCTGGAAAGAGATGGCACAAACCTGCACAGCACACAGAGATGTGAGCTTAGCCTGCAGGGAATGTTTGTCATGCAATCACATCTGCAATGGATTTTATACAGCTAAACAATATTACTTAAGGGTAGGTGGTAGCAAAACAAATTTTTCTCATCCACTGCTTGGGTATTAAGCTGGGACTTTCATGTCCAAGTCCTTCTTCTGTTTCACCTCAGGCATAATCTGGTGTAGATGAGCTCTCTTTAATTAGGCAGAACTGGGACTTCAGGCACTGTATCCCATAAAGAGGGCTGATCGGATAAAGCCAGCATCCTGCCAAACTCCCCTCTAAAATTACTGTTTTGATCCTGTTTTCCTTTCATTATAATTTGGTCATGTTAGAACATATGTTTTGCAGTGTGCAAGTGAAAGGATGGATCCTGACACTGTTAGTTTTCTTCTGCATCCAGTACTGGGCAATCAACGCTGCTTGTGAGGAGAGGAGATGGAGCTTTTAAAAATGAAGAGGGTGACATCTGCAGGGAAGCCTGACAGAGGAAGGGCTGTGGAGAGGGTCAGGGGATCACACTGCTATACCTCACCTCATGGTGTCTCCCCACAAGCTTCATGCTACACCATGCACAGGGAGCCCAAGGGGCTCATCCGAGTGGAGCAGTTTCAGGAGATAAGAGAGGAAAAATACCTATGTGAGAAAAAGGGCATCGATGTTCAAAAGTATCGTTATGCTCTTCAGGGAAACCTGTTCACATTTTCATGCAAAGAAATCATGGAGCAGCAGGACTGTCTTTACTCTGTCCCTCTTTTACTCCTTGGAAAATGAACCTGTTTGGTCTGTGATAATCTCTGCTGCTGGGGTTCTCGCCATGCCCTCTCATGAGGCACAACCTTTCAGGAGCCGGGGTAGTCAAGTAATTTATCAAAGTGGCCCTAAATCTCAGAAAGGCTGGTTATGGTTTAGCACCTGCCACAGACACGTCTGGGGGCAGGGAGGGGGTGGAGTTTTTTTCCTTCCACGTGGGACAGCTCTGCATTACTGGAAGGGAGCAAAGCACTGCTGGAGGCAAGACTGGTTGTGGGGACAGTTGTTCAATTTGAACGGGAGGAGGGGTTCTATGTGCCAAAGCCAAACGCTAAAGCTACATTCTCTTCTCAAGACAATATACTTCCTTCTCCCATTCCTCCCCATCGCCTCAGCCTGAGGAACCTCAGCAAACAGGATCCCTTCTTAGAAATGTCTGCTGTGGCATCAGCTCTTTCTGTGGTGCCTGTGCCCCTCTTCTTCCCTCACACCTCCTCCATCCTGAGAGGCTGTTGGGGTCTTGGCATCATCAGTAATATATAATATACCGATGCATTATATCCTATACCTGGGATTCCTGCTCCAATCTGGCTGTCCACAGCTCTGAGCAATAAGCTCGTCTCACAGCTACCAGGCATTTTTAATCCTCTTTTCCTGTCCGAGGTAAGAGACTGCATGCACACACAATGTTTTCACTAGGCAGTGGCTCTGGATGCCTCTCCTTTCCAGATTGTGGTGTGACTGTGCGGCAAAAATCCACATCACTAGAGAGGATGCTCACTGGGGAGATATCATGCTTCCTAAATAGACTTGGACAGTCCTAATTGCTTCTTACTGAGATGGCCATGTATCCCACAACACATAACAAACTGTTATGCAGGAGTGTTGCCTCTGCTAAATTTTGACTTTCTAGCCCTGAGGCATGACCCATGAGTAGAGCAAGAATGTTCCAGGACACTTAGTTTCTACTTTAGGAAAGACAACAGAAGATCACATTTCCACTTTTTTTTCATAAATTAGTTGTTCCAGGAGCAATGGGAGGAGTAGGGTCTGCCCTCCCATGAGTTTGAGACCCCTGCCTTCCTCCCACCACTGTAATACTGTCTGTTCCTCTTTTACTCCCTGGCTGAGCAGGAGAGTTCTCCAAGAAAGCACAGTAGCACATCAGGGAGAGCTGGCAGCAGTGGAGCCTGAGCTGCTGCCTTTTTCCTCCTCATGCTGCTAGTTTGCATGGGGCTTGGAATAATGACATCCTCTTTAGGCTTGCTCCTACTCCCCCTGTCAGACTTGGGTCACTGGGCTCAAAATTTTTGCTACTGTATGTTTGAGATGGTGTGATTACACGAGTCATGTTTTCTTCAAAGAGCTATGAAGCTAAAAACATCTGAACCATTTTTACTTAAAAGCACTGGAACACTGAGCTGAGGCAAGGCCCACAAAATTATAGCCCGAACAGTGAGCCAAGAAATTAGGCTGCATTCTGGTACTCTTCATTATAGCTTTCAGAGGTACTTCAACTGCTATATACAGACACACCATGAAATGATATCAAGTGAAAATTGCTGGGGTGGATGCAGCATTTATGCATTTCCCTGGCTGTGAACTGAAATCTCTCTCTGCTTTCTGTCTGCCTTGAAATCATACTGCCTCACAGACCTCCCCTTTCTCTTCTGCACCCCCTCAAATACTTGCCCTGAGTCTTACTCATCTACTTGCCTCAGTGAACTCTGATTTACCTATGGTTTCTTGTGAACTTTTCAGTGCAAGCCTCTATTCTGGGCTGTCTGCTGGGACAGCAAATGGTGAGAACCGCTACACTGGTTTTCTACTCTGCATCCCTGAAGCGCATTAGAAGATGAGCAGCGGTTTAAGGTGTAATTCAGAACAGCATCTTATTATCTCACTGCTATTTGCATGCTGCTCAGGTTTCAAAACCTGGCTCTAAGTGCTTTTTCCTGAAGATGCAAAGAACAGCTCCATCCGAGTCATCTGCAGGGCAGTTGCACAAGTGTTATGGAGCTTCAGACTAATTTATTTATTTCTATTAAGCCAAGCCTCTGAGAGCCAGAAATCAAGAGTTCCTGCATGCACTTATTTTCAACTTTGGGACCCTTTTCTCCCAGATTGAGTTGCGGAGTGAGTGCTGTGGGCCTGGGGCTGTGAGTGCCATGGGATCTGGGCCACCACAGCTGCTTGAAGCCACAGAGTAGTTCCTTGTGGCTGGTGGTTGGTGACAGGGAGCAAAGTGGTTTTGTGGGGGAATGTCTCACCATGGAAAATGCCTGAAAGCCAAAACCCCATAGCATTTGGCTTGCTAGATCTGATGAACAGATGTTCTGTTTAACATCTGAAAGCCTGTAATACTTTCACTGTCCTACTCCTGCAGCAATGCTTATGGATCGCTTGCTCAACACTACTGCAGAATGCTGCTCAATGACCTTCTGCTTCACTCCTTTTAATTGTGCTACATGTAGCAATTTTCCATGCCAGTGGCCTGATTCCTGCTGAACGTTTTCAAAAGTGTTAAATTAGAATTAGAACACAGGGGAATAAAATGCTGTTTTGCCTTTGTTGAAACCCTACCTCTTAAAATTGTAATCTCTGGTGGTTTTGAGCACAGACTCAAAATTTGACAGGGAATTGCTGCAGGAGCTTTTCTACTCATATGGGGATTGATCTGATGTGCCCCAACCCAGACCTGAGGTTGCACATATAGGTGATATCTCATGAACAGGTTTGGTCTGAGTGCTCTGACCAGCATATCTGCTCTCAGGGTGCGTGGGCTCTGCTTACTTGTACTGATTTTTATTTTTTTTTATTACTTGGACTGAATATTTTTATTACTTCAGCATCTAGGACCCTGACTAAGGTGAACACCATCCTAAGCTGGGTGCTGGGCATAACTGTAGTAAGAGGAACCTATTTCCCTGTACACAGGCAAGACCTGCATCATGGGATGACTGCAGCTGGAGTCGCAGAGACTTGACTTCTGCTGGTGGAAGGGCTGTTGAGGGAGGTGGGGTGCACGGGAGGCTGCCACAGGGCACATGGGATGTCAGTGACAGAGCAGTGATGGCAGCCCACAGGCCTGTCTGTGGAATGTGAGAGGACAAGGTGTTGCTGCCCAGAGTGAGAATGGATGCACACCGGCTCTGGAAATGTATTTGAAAAGAGATTTTTCATGTAGTAGGTGCTCTGCTGAGTTTGATACATCCCCTGTCTTCATCCCTCCTGCCAGTGGCACGGCTGGATGTGCCCCACTGCAGTGGGTGGCACTGGAGCAGCATCTCCCCATTTCCTCTTGGAGCCCAGTCCTGCTGGTGGTCAACAAAGCTGCAGCCTGTGGCTGTAAGCCGGGATGCTGGGAGAGTCTGAGCACCCACGGCCCCACGTGGGGCTGCACTCCCAGGAACAGCCTCTGCTGGACGTACTGCAGCATCCTGGCATCAGCACTAAGCCAAACCCCAGCCCTTTTGGGTGGAGCACCCCAGTGGCTCAGCCAGAGGGGATGACTCAAAGAAAATGTAGAATTGCAGAAGAGCTTCATAATCCTGCTCATGACCGATGCTCCAAGGAAAGAAAGAGGTATCCTGCATTGGCTTCCCTGTCTAATACAGCTGTGTACAGTCTTCTGACTCATAAAAACACTATGTTTTTTTTTCCAAAAAATCTATATCTAACTTCTTGGTAGCAGTGATAATGGTGTGGCAGTGAGTCACACAGGATAATTATGGTGTTTAAAAAACAATCTTTGTCAGTGCTGAGGGTTTTCTCTTCTAGTTTCACTAACTACCTTCTTATGAGTGAAGATTAATGAATGCTCAGGAATGGGCTCTATATGCACAGCTCTGAAGAGGTCATCACTGGATTACAGTATGAGGGGTCTTTTTTCACTGCCATGTTGTGGTTTAACCCCAGCCAGCAACTAAACCCCACACAGCCATTCACTCCCTCCCTCCCCATGGGATGGAGGAGAGAATTAGAAGAACAAAAGCAAGAAAACTCATGCATTGAGATAAAGACAGTTTAATAGGTAAAGCAAAAGCTGCCCATGCAAGCAAAGCAAAAGAAGGA